TAATATATTCAAATAAATAACATTCCATTATCATTAATAGGCAGGTTTTCGAGACTACCAGTAGATCACATACATGAGATGTATCCACCCTATTTCGCAATCTGTTAGTTAAATTTTCTCACAAAGATATAAGTAGATCTTACGCTTCTATTGAATTTCACCTAGCATTAATTTTCCAAAACGCATTCTCATCCAATCAGAAGTGGACTGCAGCCTCGACCTCGCCTAAGTCTCATTAGCACCCCCAACGGGACTCGAACCATGTCGTTGAAGCAAAGTTGTATTTGTTATAGCAATCTTCTACATTACTTTTTTTTCATTTATAGGACTTGAATGAGAATACTTCTCTAGAAAGCAAGGACAGGCTTAATTAAATGGAAACGTTAGATCTACACATATCATCGTGGGAAAATTCAATTACCAGTCCTATAATTAAATTAGACTAAATATCTACCTGCTTATAAACGAAAAAAATGTCACCTAATCGATTGCTATAGCAAATACAACTTTGCGTCATTCGCAATCCCACTGCATAAAGTTATACGAGCAAAAATCCCGGCCTTCCTTGAAATCTGTGGCCCAAGGGGATTCTTGATATTTTCGCGTTGTTGTTAACGTGTCATGATTATACGCGGAACTAGCACAAAACGGGTTCGATTCCGGCGAGGGTTACTGATCAAATCAGTTCAGGCGTGGTCAAAACTGCAGTCCACCTCTGCTTGGATGAGAATACCTTTTGGGGCAACAATACTATGTGTTATTCAATGGAAACGTAAGATCTATTTACATCATTGTGGGGAAATTCAACTACCCTTTTCACCTTAAACGAAATAGGGTGAATAAATCTCATGGACAATATACCGACTTGCTCTGGAAATGGAATTCAATTTACGTCCCAAACAAACAAATAAACTTTTGAAAATTTATCATAAGCATATACAAGTTAATATCGTCGAATACTGCAAGTAAATAAAATAATTTTTATTACATCTTGAACATTTCCAGCCTCGGGCCGAATTAATGTACCGAGTTCGCCGACCTATGCTAGGAGTTATCATGACTACTATGGCAGGGCGCCTCTGACAATATGAATAAGTTTCGAAAACGAGGCCAACCAATTTTATCATTTATCTGGCTATAAGCCTAATTTTTACAAGTACTATTTATTTAATTGATGCAGGACCGTTCACATTTGCATCAATTCGAATTGAGTGCTCCACTTTCATGATGACCCCTTATGAAGATGGTCATTCGGGTACCTATTTTTCCCTCTTCTTACTCACCATTTTGGTAGATATTTGACAAAATGATAGTACAAGTCGTCTAAGGAGGGAATTTTAACATCAACTCTCACGTTTGGGCTGAAGTTGATAAACCGAGTATGGGTATTGTGTGCATTGATAGCCAGTTATCATGGAGGGCCCATGACTTGCCAGTGGCTTAATTCATTTCAAAGAACCATTTAGTCCCATAACTTCGCGTCGTCCCTGAAAAGCTTCCTGTCTATTATTCCTTTCTGCTAGGAGCTCGATTTACTTTCGGTTGCAAAGTGCTGGTAACTTGTAAAAATAGGATGACTCAAAGTAATTTACGAACTGAAAGTAAAATTTCTTACAATGATATCATTATGCCCTACAGTACAATTTAATTGCCTTAACCCTACTTCCCAAAATGGCTCTTCCTGTGGCTGGACTGCAATTTCTACTCTGAATTCGTCTTACCAAAATCATAGTTCATCCTGAATTAAAAAGCCCTTTCAAAGGTAAAACTAAGTCAACTTCATTGGTATCTTGAAGCCTATTTATTTCGTTGCAGGATATTTAGTTATTTGTCCTTACATCACCTTAAAAGACTCAAAATGAATAGTTTAAATTGATGATAGTTTCGAAATCCAATCCTTCAGTGTATACGAATTCATCTATCTTGTTAATTAAAGCAGAATTCCTCTTGAGACCACTGGATTACTGACACCGCCAGACCCATATGCTCAGTTTTCTTTAGTAAAACTCATTTACCTTCACTTAACTTGCGATATTCATAGTTTTTGGTTGGCACCTTTAAAATATTTCAAGTGTCTACTTTTGGTGAGGTCACGACTCATGCTTCCGCTAGGATCTTGAGCTTCGGATTTTGTCCAGTGTCGACTGGAAGTGTGGTCCGAACATGTTGCGTCTGACTAAGTCACTTTTGACAAAAAGATTAGGTTGTCAAAACGAGGTCAAACCCCTTCAATCATTTTTGCCCAATTAAGGCAACTTTAGGCACCTTTGGTTACCTAATATTAAGTATTGCTTACAGCTAAATTTCGCATAATGAAATGTCATTGCATTTCATATAACCTTGTCTTCCGTAAGGCCCTCTTATCCAGCTTGTCAGCCATCTCACTCCAACTCTATCCCATCATCGTTGCTATTGTCCACATCCATACCAGTGTGGATAAACTAAGCGATTACAGCACGACTGCCATCAGCACTGTTGGTGTGTGGTGTCCCATTGACATATTGACCTCCACTTTTCGAGGCTACCGCCGACTATTTTCACACCAGTCTTCTTCCATTTGTAATGGAAGATGCATTCTTATCTTTTTTATTCTTCAATTTATTCAGTTAATGAACACAATGTGGGCAATAAGCCGTGCGCAGTAGACGCAAGAAAGACTACCACGACGATCAACCTTGGCGTCTCCAACGGTGCAATTTGCCGAGCGTCAGCCCACACGGAATCCGCCATGGCGACGGGCCGGCCCACCTTCTGCGAGTCGACCGGGTGCCGCCGACTTGAATTTGGGTCTCTGGGCCCACGTAGCCTACGCCTTTCTGACCGGGGGCCTGGAGTCAGTCTTTCCAAGCCCGGCTGTCGAAAGCCACGCCCGGGGTTGGAGAGATTGACCTGTACCCACGAGTCAGACTTCACCAGTCTAGTCGACGCGAGCAACTTGGGCACTGATAAAATGCTTTTGATGGCACCAAAAGATGATCTGGCACTTTGCAACTCGTCGGCTGGGCCAAATGAGCCTTCGGTCGCGGCATCATTTTATCCCAACCAAGAAGCTGAGGAGTACAAGTCAGGCAAAGAAAATGGAGAGGGAGAAGTGGCAAAAGTCGTCTCGGAAACCGACATCATGAAGGGGAAACGGTTTGCACCGAGGTCGTTCCACGCCGAGGTCTACGATACATTATTCGCCCTACAGAGTTTGTCATCGGCTGCACCGCAGGTGCCCGGCCTTGGGGCTTACCTGTCTCGTGTGCGCGGAGTCTACGAAACACGCACTCTGGCCCTGCCCGAAGCTCGTTGTCTGGAGCTCAGCGCCGGGTCAATGCCAGTGCTGCCGGCAATGGTGTCACCGATGGGGATGGTGTCGAAATCTGTGCTGTCTTCTGGTGTCATCCGAGACGAAATGAACCCCGGTTTCGGCAGCTTGGCTCGCCTGCCAGATATCACTATCTTGAATGAGGAAAGAGATATGGGCGAAGGTAAAATAAACTGTTTTCACTCGTTGATATAAAGATCAAAATGCAGTTGGGGCTCTGTTTTGATGGCAGTCTTCTTCGACTTTCGCAGCTTGGTTGTGTTGTCAGAGCAACCTAATTGGATACACTCTTTCCAAAGATATCTGCCATGGTGGCTATGATAATTCTCTGCGTCAGATTAATGACTTGATACATTTCCAAACGTTTAGCTGGCATCGTACTTTGCATATTCAGACAAATGAAGTCTGGAGATAAGTCTTTTACGAGCTGTAGCTTGATGCTGAGAATGGCAAGACCATCTGATGACGCTGAATTCGATGCCGATAAAACATCTGGCATTGTACCAAGTCCACGGTCCGCTGCTTGGAATTATAGTAACTACTATAGCCAGGACTCCGAACATGTTGCGTCTGACTAAGTCAACTTGACCGAAAGATTAAGTTGTGAAAACGAGGTCAAACGCCTCCAATCATTTTTGCCCAATTAAGGCAACTTTGGGCACCTTAGGTTACCTAATAATAAATAGTGCTTACAACTGAATTTCGCATAATGAAATGTCATTGCATTAATTATAACCTTGTCTTCCATAAGGCCCTCTTATCCAGGCTGAACGACGGGTCAAACCTCGCCTGGATCTCTTCAACATCGGTTTTGAATCCCTTTGTGGTGCCGATCAAACTCAGGCATGAGCTGTTGGGAGTCAAGGCTAGGTGAACTTTAGCGGGATCATGATTATACTCAGCCTTTAAATCGTCTTAAGCAACCTATTTTTCGAATTAACTATTGTTTTCGTGGATACCAGTAAATCGGTAATATGAGATTTACCGGTAGTCACGCAAACAATACTTAATTCGAAAAATAAAGTATAGTAGTCGAGTATTATAACAGATATACGTTTGCTTCATCGACAATTCCACCAAAAAAGAATATGAAATGGCAAAAAGGCCTGGCCTTGCTTGAAAATTCACATTTGTCCTGTGGCCCCAAAAAGTCGCTCGTGGCAGTCTAGCTCCCATCCTGCACTGTCGCGGTTCGACTCCCGCTGAGGGTGACGATAAGACCGATGCGAGGTCGAAACGGCAGTCCACTTCAGCCGGATTGAGAACAACTTTTGGGAAAGCAACGTCTTTGTGGGAAAATTCTTCTTCTACCAGTCCTTCATCACCTCAAACGAAATTGGGCGAATACATGTCATATTAAGCAACCTAGCCTGACTTATTCACGAATTAAGTATACAAATGTCAATATAATTGAGCAGTGATGTTATTTGCAATTTATTTTTATTTCTCACAAAAAGTATGCTGATTCACATTATATTTTGCATTACATCCTCGCCTAGGCTACTACAGCATGCAGTTAAAATAAAATAATTTAGGAGCATCTTTTTCGCTTTATCCTTTATTTGTGGCTTTAATGTTCAATGCGATTCGAGAGGTACTTTTAACAAGGTCATTCCCACAGCCTGCAGTTGCTTCAAGCCTTACCTCCTTGAATGACTAACGCGGAGTTTAGCATTCTCACTTTCAACGCTATCACATATATCTTCATTAGTACCAGTTATATTTACTACTTTTTGCTAAATATTAGTTATTTCTTGCACTGTCAGGCCGTATAGTTTGGTTACAAGCGAAATATGCGTCCAATTTTTTAGGTCTTAGCTTCCTCTAGGCAGTCGCACGAAGATGCGCACTTATTCGGCCGTTCGGGTTCGGTACGCGCTTTTTCAAGTACCCGCTCAGTAACCGGTCAGTACGTGAACTTGGGAACTACCGATTTATGCCCCAAATAACTTACAGTCATGGCCACTGGCCTTCGACCGTGCAGGCGGGTTCACATGACTGACTGCACTATGGTCGACCGAACCATGTCTTGGCGCACTTTAAGGCTGTTGATTCACTATACTTTGCTATGCTTGACTGCATTCTGCTAATCTCCCCATTTACTCTCTTCAGCAAGTGGTCTAATAACCAAAACGAGCCATTTTGGCTTATGTTGATTGTGGAGGTCTGCTTATCTTGAGCATAAGGAAAGCTGGGGTATCTTTAAAAAATATATAAAATATCCCTATTGAATAAGGGCAAACGAATTTTATTTTTTCTTATAAACTTCCTATTGTTTTCTTCGTTTTCCCTTCTTTATATGCAAAAATAAGTGTAAAATCCTATTAGAATATTCCCCATCCTCTCTATTAGACCAATAGGCTCATGTTCTCTCTCGCGAGCACTCACATAACTATATTCACATTTAAATGTATGATACAACTGATTGATACTCAAGGTATCTCATATCTCTCTTTCCTCCAATATTGAGCAAAACCAGAGTTGAAACATTATGCAAATTTTCACCCAATGACAGACAGCTAATGCTTTAACCTCATCTGCCTTCCTATTCGGGTTTGTATCAGGTGTCTGGAGTTAGAACCGATTACTCCAGCCACCCTTAAACAAAATTTCACTCACGACTTACATATACTAGGGGGGGGTTCGGAGGAGGAATTCCGTCAAACATTAAGGATTTCTCTCTTCACACTTATAAAATATGGATGCTTCCATATATGCAATTTTGGGTCTACTCTCAAACTCGCTGTGTAATTTATATTAATATTAAGTTAGCTTTGAAATTACCAGTAGATCTTAAATCAAAGCTTTATTCGTCCGAGGTTATTCAATATTTTATGGAAGCGTGATTCCTACTCACATCATTGTAGGAAAATTCAAATATCACTCCTTCATAACAATATGCAAGCTAAGCGAATACAGTTCTTATCCACGGTGTCATTGTCCGACCTTTTCAAATCCGCTTAGGCTGTTATTCTTTTATTATTCTTATTGTTTGCCAATTGTAATTTGTTGCTGACCCAGACTACTTTCCATAAATTTTCGCTCGACATTCTTTGCTCATTTTCAACTAATTCACATTGAGGCCTTCAGATTATCCCCAATTTGGCCTTCCGCATTGAGTAACTTTCACTTGCATACAAGTTTTGGTCTAATGCTTAAGAGTGAAATAGGCCCTTTGATTTTGTTAGAAACTCGTTTAGCCCTGTTCAGAGTTTTAGATAGCTTGCTTCTATATTCAATTTTTTCTTTGATGCCCACAGGAAAGTTGAATCCCTCGAACTTTATCCTTAAATATAGCACACGCGCGTAGGCATAGTTGCACTATGAAAATTTCCTCTGCTATACTTAATTCATTTTTGTGTTTTTTCTCTCAAAAGCACTAGTTGCATCCCTACAAGTTTAGACACATATTTATTTATATTTTATTGTCGAGTCATTTTTTTATAAGTAGTCTAAGAGCGTGAGACCCAAACAATCTTTCCCATTTTGGAACTGTGACAATGTCATTAGCAAAAGAATCGGCAGATGTGCTAAATCTTAGCTGATTCATTCAGCAGTTTATTAAGTCCTTCATGTTACTCCACAATTACAGATTTTCGACCCTTTAATTCTAAAATACTGAAAACTGGTAATATTTGGTCAATTTAGGTTATTAAAGGACTGATAGTCAAGTTTTATACGAGTTGAGTAGTTTTGGGGACTATGGTTAAGTATCGAATAATAACTTGGCTACATTCGGTCGCTTAAGGTGATTTAAGGTCAGGCTGTTCTGTCTGAAAAAAGTAGGACTGACTTGGTCATGCTTTAGAAAAGTAATTCTACTCCTGATTGGCTGGCAGTTCTAAACTCGTCTGATTCTTTATATCAACCGTAACCAGATTAGAAATTAAGTCATGTGCATTAACTTTAAGCAGGTTTTAAGCCGTCAGTGGCATAGGCCAAGAGTGAATCGGTCAGATGCCAGATGCGATTTTCATTTCTATCAGACCGGGTGCTGATTCAAGTTGCCTTTCGGTCTTAAATAATTCTACTTATAATTTCCAGAACGACTTGTTCTGTGTCTAATAGAATTTTGGAGTTTAAGGTCTGGCAAGAAACTGTCTGAATGACACCAGACCGACTCATAATGGTAAATGGGGATTATTGACCCTCTTACTCACTTGCATTATCAGGAGACTTTGTAGGTTTATGCGGAGAAGAATTGTGTTCCTGAGATAACGCTGTTGTTGTTCATTGTTGATGTCGTATGAAACTGCATGGTACAAAGCTTTGTAGGTCAATCTCACCAGAAAACGACAGCTGATTTCCCTTGTACTACTGCCGTTTGGTTTTAAAATGATGTTTAGAACCGGCAAATCTGCTCGACTTAGGGGTAACTTGAAACATTTGCAAGACTTAATCTTAGCTCTGATGATCTTTGTGATATGACGAAGGAAAGCTCAGTCCTTTTCGCCTGAAACGGGGAGACTGGCATCATCTTGAGCGCCGTATTAAATATGGCTGAGGTAGAACGGTATTGGTGAGATCGACCTACGAATCTCTTCATCGGGTTCTTTCATGCGAAATAAAAGTCTCTAGAACAAGGTTATAGAGCCCTGTCTAGCATCAGATCCATTTGGGGACATTATTGAAGCCCAAACTAGGTCCGAACTGCATTCAAAGAGGCAAAGCTGGGTAAAAGTAAATGGTATGGTGTGTCTTTATACTCATTTCAGTGTTTCCAATTCAACTATCAAGACCTTTACGACCTAAATGTGTGACCTCGGTGATGTTAGCTCCTATGAACAATGGCCAACCTGAGGGATTAGTCTGAAAGGCCAATGTAGAATTTAGCCTATCCAATTTTGAGCACATGAATTAGTCAAGACGATTGATTGAATTTGCATTTTATTGCCAATTTCCCTTTACTTTCGCTTGATAACCCGCATTCACTTTTCTTTCTCCCCAACGCGCCAATATTAATTTCAATCTAGCCATGGTCGCAGCTACATGTAGCATAAGAGGAGAAAAACCAAAGGTTGTTTGGGAAAGCCTAAATCCGAATGGTCTTAGACTGGATCGAGTTGATTGACGAAGAGAGTCATTAACAAATGCTTGATATATGGTAATAGTTGTTTTGATTCCAACTACCAGCGATCATATGGCTTATGAGTTGAACACTGTTGAATTCAGTAGGAAAATCAAGTATTCCCTTTAACTTCTCTTGGCTAGACTGATTAATACCAAAATGCTGCCTCATTTTATCATCATCAACCGGTACTGTAACTGTACTTGGTTTAAGTGCTAGTGTGTCTGCCTCTGAACTCGTACATCCATAGTTCGAAGTCCGCTGGGCATGCTGATGACACCGAAACGAGTTCAGCTCAAACAAAAGCAACCTGTTGGGATGTGGGAAAGACGCCTTCTTTCTTCTATTCTTCATGGGAAGTTTCTCATTCTATGTTTGTACCACATAACCGACAGCAAATAGGTTGATGATAGCTGCCACAAACCGATGGTTACTAACACTAAAAGAAAGTCGCTCTGCATTTATGATAGTCCATCTCCGAACCAATCTCTATTAAGCTTCTGTATGTCTTGTCCAGGTAGCCATTTTCAGGCTGAGACATCATTCTTGTACAGATTTTAGCTAAAGATAAGATGAAAGTTATACGAAATACCCGATTAAAGAAGAAACCTTAATCTGCATACGACTTAGCAT